TGCCAGGCAGAGGGAGAGACAGTCCTGTTCACTCTGCTGAGTGGTCTTTATTTATTTATTCTTCAAACTTGCAGCTGGGGAGCTCAGAACAGGAAAAAGGAGACTTAATTATTTACCTCTCACTGACAAGCCGAAACACATCCTGTGGCAAAAATCCTGATGCTAGTGCTATGAATACCACATCAAACATTTAGATCATTAATTAGCAGAGAGAATATCATGCCTTTCATTTTCCAGTACTTGTAAGTAAGAGAAGCGATGTCCTGGACAGCCAGCACCTCGCAGCTTCCCCTCATGCTGCTACCTTGTCTGCATCCAGACACATCTGAGACAGGGAAGTGTCAAAGCTGTGCATCTCCTTCCTTAGGCAGCAGCGGCACCGTATAGAGTCTGTGCCATAACTGAAATGAGCCTGATTAAAGTAGCAAAAACAAGCCAGGTGTTGTGCAGAAACTGTATAATTAGCACTTTGTGCTGACTATTTTTTTATTTCTTTTTTTTTTTCCTCCTTTTTGCTTAAACCCTGGACTTTTTTTTTTTTTTTCTTAATTTGCTAATCATCTCTCACGGTGACTAAGTACACAGCCCTCCGTGCGCTTTTACCTTTTGATCTTAACATAAGAGAACTCTTGAATTTCAAAGAGCTTGGTGGGTATTTGAAAGAATAAAATGCGAAAGCCGCAGTGTAATCAAAGCTCATTATGGTTATTCTTGGTGTGATGTCTCTCTTCCTACATAATTAGCCATTTTGGGTTGTTGAAGCAGTTCATTTTGGCGGGCATTTTCTCTCCGTGCGCTCGGTCTGATTTCGATAATTGTGACCCTTGGCCCTTTCGACACTTTATTATACTCCCAAAGGTTTTTTTTTTCCCCTAACAAGTCCCATTTTGTTGCCATGGAGAGAATTAAGAGGTTCATGAGTTCCCGAGGATCAACGTCCACAGTCACCTCTAAAATAACTGGTATTCTGGGTAATGACCAAAAACATACTGACCTTGGGTCAGAAGGTCTGAACTCCTCCCTGCAAACATTTTCTGTCTTTTGCATTGATATTTATTTGGAGAGGAAATTGTTGGATCCAATGCTTACCCCTGGGTAGGTGGAAAAGGATCACAACAAAATGAGGAGGACAGAAGAAGGACCTTATGATGCAAATTTAAAGTGAAATTTTCCATGGTTACATCTGCAAAATATCTACTAAATCCATTGAAACAAAGAAAATTTCAGCATTAACTTTTAAAGATAATTCAGCAGCGAATCGGGTCTTCTTGGGTTGAATAAGCATAAGCACTTTCTGAACTAGAGGTATGAGTTTTCATTTTGATGGTAACAGATCTTTTGGTGATTTAAGGGAGAAAGTGTTGTGATCTCTGGCTCACCAGAACTTAAAAGCTGTTTCGATTTGTTAAAGTATGCCCATCACTGCAGTATATCTATCTATGTTTGGTTTCGGGGAAAAAAAAAAAAAAGTATAAATAACAGAGGGACTTCAAAGCACTGTAATATTAATTGTCTTCTGATTTTACCCGTATAAAAGGAAAATAAAAGCCATACACACACATAAAGAAAGAAAAGAAAGTATTTAAAAAAAATCAAAGCTGAGCAAAGGCACAAGTAATAGAAAAGCTGGCTTTGAATTTTTAATGGTGCTTTCATAGTCTATCTGAAAAAAAAAAAGAAAAAAAAAGAAAAAAAAATCCCTGTGACAACACAAATGTGCAGGATTTGGAGCCTCTGTTTCCCATCCTCCCCGGGGAGTGCCGCAGGAGAGGTGTTTATAATCTCTCCTGTTGCCAGCGGCATGGGTGCGTTAGCGTGTGATTAATAGAGCGCAGGTAGAAAATGGGTTGGAGATGTGAATTTGGCTTTGCTGTAAAGCCGACGTGCTCACTCTCAGCTGCGTTGGGAAGTGGGCTGTGGTTGTGGTGCTGCAGCCTTTGCTGTGGATCTCTTTGTGCCTGCATCAAGTGGCCCTCAGCTTAGAGGGAGTTTTGGGGCTTACAAATGTCTGTGCACAGTCTTGCAAGGGCAATAATGAGCTTAAAGCCTATTGATGGCAGTGGACTTCAGGTTCCTTAGAGCTGTGGTAGACCCAGTCTTTGGACTATCCTCACCAGGGCTTTGTTCTCTTGGGATTTGGGAAGGTGTCATGCTGTGGGTGAGTTCCACCAGGGAAGTGACGGGAGAGGGCTGCAATGGTGTGGGGGAGGCTGCTCACGGTACTGGGTACTGCATTCAGTACCGATGCTGCATTACCCACAGTGGTGTCTGTCATTAACCCCATGGAAGGATGATGGTTCATGGAAGCAGAGCTGTCTTTGGAGACCTCCTTCCCTCATCAGTCAGCACAATGATTTTTTTTTTTTCCCCCTTGCTCCAGACAACCCTCTGCATCCCACAGGTGGCTATCGCTGGCGTTCAGGGATCATCATCCCTGATTTAAAGGGTGGCAAGCCAAGGCACAGAGTTGGCAGCAAACTGCTTGACCTAGGAACAGTAGGAGCCAGCAGCTGAGCTGAGACTGGGCTGCACATCTCCCCAGCCCAGAGCCTTGAAAACGGTCCCTACTGGATTCTCTTCCATAAGAGGTGGCCTGAGGTCAATTCCTTCAGGGCACTGAGTATTTGTTTAGAGCCCAGGTCTGAGTCTACAGCCCAGTGCAGTGGTTTTGGTTGAGTTATTCTTGTTGGTACCAGCAAGATCAGAATCAGCCCCTTTGCGATCCCCCTCCCATAGAGTTATGCCCCGCATTGCTCTTCTGGCAGCTGAATCTGTGGGGGAGATTGGGTGGAGGCAGGCTTTGAATATTCAAGTTGCCTGCTGCTTGACCCCCTCCTGCTCTCGGTGGGTTATTTATTTATTTTGTTGGCTTTTTTACAAGTCTGCTTCTTTCCTGCAGGTTTCACCAAGTTAGGTTTCCAGGCAATCAGCACTTGTTAAATATTCCACTGAGCATGATATTGCTCTCCTGTCTCTCTGTACTGACGCTCAGCTGCGGTAATTTGCTGAACTCAGCTCTCGCATATGGGGATTTTTTAAAAATAACAAACCTATTAATAATAATAATTAAAAAACACTTGACAGGTGCGAACAGCACATCTAAATTGCTGTGTGTGTCCCAGCGGGAGGAGGGGCGTTCAGCCACTTTTTCTAATACTTTGTGCAGGCTGCTGGTGTTGGTGAGGCAGGGGTGTCTAACCCTGCTTGGTGCAAGCCTTAGTGGTGCTGGGGTGGCCACAGCAGCACCGTGACTGTTGCTTAGGGAACAGAGGATTTCTCTTCCTCCCCACCCCAACCTTAACATGCAAGGCACCTGAAGTGGGGGGAAAATCATGGCTTTTGCCAAGATCCTGAAACTGGAGGAGGCAGGGATTGTGTTTCCAGGGAAAGTAATTCTTAGAAGTGATTTTTGAGGAGCTCCACAAGGGAGGTGCCAGCCTTACCCACTCTGAGATAAATCTCCCTTTTTTTCAGGGTTTCTACTGGGGAAAAAATGCAACAACCCATGGAGAGAGAATCCATTTCAAGCCTCTGCCTTGGGATGTCCTGTTCATCCAAAAAAATCCACCTCAACCCTCTCTCTGGAGGGTTGTAATTCCTGCAGCTGGTGGGGTGGGACCAAACCAGAGCAGGCAGCAAGCACTTGGCAATAGGCATAGATACTCCAAGACCTCCTGGGTGGGGTGGGCTTGCGGTTTCTCATCGAGAAGGTTTCATCAGAGAAATGCAGCCCTTTTGCTGAATGCCCTCAGAAATTCGGGTGTGATGCCGTGAGACCCCTCCAGGTTCCTGCCAGCTGGGCTGGTGGCTCCTGGTCATCCAGGTCCCCTGGGGGTCCTGCCCTTTGGAGCTCTCTTGACTGGAGTATGGGCCAGGGATGTGGTTTTCCAGGCTTTTTGCTGGAGCTTTGGGAGCCTGAGAGACCAGGGAAACCTGTCAATAAAGATCTGGAAGTATCACAGGCTTCAAGGTTGTTAGTCCACGAGGTGTCTGCCTTCTTATGCCATTGGGAGGTTTGAAGGTTTTTTCTAACCCAGACCACAAGGCAGACTCAGGTGTGAAATTCGGGGAAATTTAAAATCCCCTGTGAAAAAGGAAGGATGCTCAGAATGAAGGCAAAGAAGTTTAAATGCTGGAAAAGCCCGTACAGCCCAACTGGCATTATCAAAGCCCAAGCCAAGCATTTAGGAGATTTGTGGGATGCCCTGGGGTTTCTGCTTCAGGAAGTCAGCCTTGACCCTTTGCTGGGGCAGGATTTTAAGCACGTGTAATTTTGCCAGTCTCTGCGCCATGTGAGAAAGGGGAAGAACAGGTCCAGGCTTTTTAACAATAATAATAAAAAAAACCTTGGTGGCATAATTAAGGGAAGATTGTAGCTTTCAGCCACATTTCACAGTGTCTGTCCACCTGGAGGGAGCTGTGAACCACATCCTCCAGCCTCTCTCTTTCATTAAATAGGCGGGTTCCAACCCTGCTCTTATCCTCTCGGCAGTCTCTGAAACGCAATCAGCTCACGGATTAAAACAGGAGTTGTCCTGCCGCGGCTGAGAGCTGTGTAAAGATGGGTTTGAGCTGGGTAATTTTCTCTGTGTTGGCCCTGCTGTTGGTGGACACCATATCATTAGCCCCCGGGAGAGGCAGTGGGGTGACGGCAGCTTTGCTGTAAGCCCCGGTAGGGAACATGGTGGGATGTACCTGCTGCTGAAAGCTGGTTTCTCCTGGCTTTGTGTGTCACTCTGTTTTTATTCCCAAAGGTGGGAAGGGTGAATCTCAGCTGTTTCCCAGGAATACCGAGCACTTGCTCTTAGATCAGGCTACAGGGAGGTGATAGCTGGGTACTGTAGGCTGCTGGGGGGTTGGTGGGGGGTGGTTTCTGAGTCTTGTCTAGTGCTTTGGCAGGGATTGGTTCCTAGGCTTTCCCGTCCCATTGAGATGGTTGTTGAGATGGTCAATCCACTGTCATGGATTTTCTCTCTTCATTCTTTAGTGTGCTGAACCAGCACCCCAGTGCACCTCGTCCATGAAATCATACTAGTGGATGACTTCAGTGATGATCGTAAGTGACCCTTTCTATGTTAAAAGTGAGGAGCCAAATTGAAAGAGACTGTGAGAGACTGGGATTTACACAGAGAAGGGGGAAGAGTTTTTTTTCAAAGTAAAAGGAAATTTAAAGCTCCGTAGGTGTGGAGAGCAAACCCTGCTGTGCCAGGATTGCATTGCCATGTGGAGAATTCAAATTCCAAATGATCAAACCTCTTCTCATGAAAATAATACAAAAAAGCATATGGTAAATCATTTTTATACCCAGCAGACATGAATCCAATCCTTACCTGGTTGTATCCTGCCACAGCCGTGGTATGTTTAATCTGAGTTTAGATTTAGATGAAATCTGATTTAATCTGATTTAGATTAGAATTATTTAAAATATTTTTTACACCCAGCAGACATGAATCCAATCCTTAGCTGGTTGTATCCTGCCACAGCTAGGGACAGTTCTGGGTTGATACCACTGGAATTGCACAGAATAATGATAGTCTGACTCTCCTGCTGTATGCATATGTTCTACATACATTTATATAGGTGGCCAGCAACTCTTGATTGATTTTTTTTTTTTTTTTTTTTTTTTTTCACCCATATAAAGAGGATTTCCCGCATGGGCTGCCCATTTCTGAGATGCACCATAAATAATGCTATATGTCACAGCCCACGTCCTCCTGCCTTTGTCTTCCAGTTAGTAGTATGACTCAAGTGAAATCAATAGGTCTGATCTCCAGCAGAAGTCAGTAGCTGAAGCCCTGGGGGCTCACAGGGAACTACCCCAGCTAAAGACCTTACCAGGTGAGATGGGTGAGTGGAAGATCCAGGTGCTGAGAGTAAGTGCTCAGAAAAACAGTCTCAGGCATAAAAAGGATGATAAAGTACACCTAGGCTGAGTGGTCCATGGCAATTACATTTCAAGGAGCTGCAAAATGTAGCCATTTACTAGGAAACGTGAAAACAAAGACAGAAAGGTTTTTTTTAAAAAAATGGATCTGTATGCTTTGCTCTTGGATGTTATAAATAGGCAATGCCTCAGAGAGCGTTAAGGACAGATTTCACATGAGACCTGCTTCTCAGCATTGACACCTCCCTGGGAAATCCCTGAAGCCAGGGGAAGGGTTTGCAGTGATTATGGTGAGCTTTGGAGTGACTCCAGTGCGTGGGGCCAGGCTAGACAAGCCTGGGGATCGGCAGAAGAAAAGGAGAAGGTACAAGGACTCGAGCTGCCCTGGCATACAGCAGAAGGGTAGAGGAAAGAAATGCTGCTTATTTGGTTAAATAGCCAAAGCGCTTACCTTCCTGAAAAGAAAGGGGTTTACAGAAATGCAGCTCCCCTGTCACAGTGGGATGAGCTGGGGAGAAGGAGCAGGGATGGGTTTCAACTCATCCCAGGGCACTAGTGAGGAGCCTGTTTCCTGTGTAACTTAGAGCAGCCCCTCAGCTACTCAAAATCAGTGCTTCTCAGCTGTCTTACATCTCCTTTCCTGTGATAGTCTGAGCCTGCTGGCATCTGGTCTGCATGCATTTACATAAAATACATGTATTTGCATAATACACTATGCACACATGGTCAGTTTTTTCCCTGCAACCCACTCCAAAGCAATTGGTGCTTTTATCTCATGCCCAGTTGTGTTTCATTTCTCACCTCTGCCCACCCACTGACCTTTTACTTGCTGGGATGGAGCTGTTCTGCATGCAGGTTCTTGCTCTTCCCAGCAAATCTCCATTGTAGGTCCGTAGCCAGCCCCTGCTGCTTCTGCTCCCTGGTGTGGGCAGAGCAATGCAGCTCTGTTCCTGAGTTGTTAGGGTTACTGGTATGGTGATGCCTCTTGTCAACAGAGATTGCTGGAGGGGATAAAAGCGCTCGGAGGTGTGTGTGGGTGCACAGAGTGGGTGGCAGGGATGGAACACAAGTGTGTGTGGTTTTAGTGCTGAGGAAGAAGAGGCAGAGTGGTGAGAAGCACCAAAGAGTTGTGGAGGCCACAGTGTGGGCACGCGGAGGTAGAGGAGGCTGTGCTGGATGCACCTGCCTGCAGACCCAGCTCTTGCTGGGAGAAATCTGGGTGAGGTGGGATGCTGGGGCTGCTGGCAGCAGCAGGGCAAGAGCAATGGCAGCAACTTTGTGTGGGACTGTAGGACCTCTCGGGTGTGGGTGGCTATGGGACCTCTCTGCCCTATGGACCTGATGCTGCCCAGGGCCTGAGGAGCCCCCACTGCTCCATGGGGCTCTCTTTGACCCTTCCTTTCTCCTCGCTCAGGCTCACAGGCCATCTCTGGAGGCTCCTGCCCCACCAGGCAGACATGCATCAAACAGCTTATGTGTTGCTTTGCAGCTACCAAAAATAGTCATTTGCATTAATGTGCAAAAAGTCAGATTCTGACCCCAACTATGGCTCTTCTGTGCTGAGTTTACAGCGTAATTCAGCTGTTCTTGGTGTAAATCTGCTGGGTTTACTCTAGTTTCATGAAAACTGCTGCTCTGCCAGTCCAGATTTACATTGCATGAGCTGAGGGCTAAAACTGTTGTGCCCCAGCAGTGCCATTGCCCTAATAAGCCATCAGCCAGACCACGATGGGGTCCTCTCCCTGCTCCCAGTTTCCTCTGGGACTGTTTCTGCTGCCAGAGCCACCCACCATGAGGGCTGAGGATGACATGCCTTCCCTTTCTGTTTCCCAAGCTGACGACTGCCGCTTGTTGGGCAAGCTCCCCAAGGTGAAGTGTTTGCGGAACGGACGGCGAGAAGGTAAGAGCTGCTTGGGTGGGAAACCCAAATTTTGGGAGATGTGAGGGCCATGGAGCAAGAGGGAACCTCAGTGGAGTGGGTGATGAGGGAGGTGAGCAGCTCCTGGGGACAGGGGTACGGATAAAAGGAGACATGATGAAGGGCTGGGAGTTGAAATGGATCCCCCCTCTTTTGGTGAAAAAGATGGGACTATTAAGATATCCAATGAAGCTCAGCTGTAGCTTATTAGCCAGAAAATTAGAACAGGCAAAACAAAGCCCCGGGTCTTATTTTTAAAGATGTTTGCTCTAATGAAAGAGAGGAGATCTGCTCCTGCTGTTTCTGTGGGAATTTTCTAAAAAAAATTAATTAATTCTACTTGAAAGATTTAGAAGGGCTATACGGAGGATGAATGTATGCCCTACTGGGCTGATGCTGGCAACCTTTTGAGACATTTTCCAGCTCCCCATACTCTGAATGGGTGTTTTCAAGGCCTCCTTTGCAGTATTTGGAAAACAAAAAAGGAAGAATTTTTTTGATGGTGAAAATCAAAGGTATGAGTCCCAGCGTGTGTCACGCTGGGGAGACTGAGGAGCAGAGAGGTTTTCTCTGTGGATTCTTTCTGCAGAAGGTTTCAGCTCTGTAGGTCTGCTGTCAGGGTGGCATCACCCCTGCTATGGGTGTAAAAGACATATCTGCATTGGCAAGAGGGTAGGGGAGGTCTCCACAGGTCTACGCCTCCTTCTCACCCTTCTCCCCTGTGTTGTTGGGGTACATATATGCTCACCCCTAGCACTGGATGGACCTGGAGGTGTTCGTACTCTAGAAAGCAGCTGGGATTTGGAAACCTAGCCTGGAGGCCTCACCTCACTTAATACATCATGGAAACTGTGTTCCTCAGGACCTGCCAGGGTTTGGGGGTGGTTGGGGTGGATACAGCAGACCATGCCTACCCACAGGATCTTAGAAGTTGCAGAGAGAGATACAAGGACAACGTGTGTTGCAGGAGGCATCCTCAGCAAATGCTGGATTGCTTCAGGCTTCGTCCTCCTGTCCCTCTCCCTCCTTCCCAGAGGATGTTCCTTGGCCCCTTTCCTCTAAGGAGTTTTAATGTGAAATCAGTAACCTCCTTCTGCATGGACCTCGTGTGGCTGTGCCCTGAAACCCTTCTGCCTCTCTTTAGCCCTGTCTCCCCTCGGATCACCACTGTTTCTCCTTCACCAAGAAGCTCTACTCCCCTTGAGCAACCTCCGTGTCCTCCTGTTTGCCAACAGACCATCTCCTTTTTTATATTGCGGTTCACTTGAGCATCGGCCGCAGGCTGGCGGGATGTTGGAAAGCCAGTTGACTCCTGTCTAAATAGATGATTTCCCACAGAAAACCCACCTTCAACTCCCCTGGCCCATTCCCCACCAACTTAGGTCTACATTAGGTTTGTTACCTGCAGGAGGTTATGGAAGCATTTCAAGTCCTGTTTTGCCCCAGAAGGTGACAGCAGAAATAATGGCACAAATTAAGGGTTGGCATAAATGCCATAAATCATTAATCTAGGTGGAGCCATTTATTTGCTTTGGTGACCTTGGGAAATGGTTGGCATGCCTTGCAGCACTGGGAAGGAGGTAATGAACCCAAGCCAAATGGAATTTAGATGGGTCAAAACCCAGGGGATGCATGAGTGCAGGAGACCGTGCTGGAGGAGCCTGAGGACGTTGCCCAGCCATCTGGGTGGCAGCTGACGTGGTGTGTCCCTGAACAGGTCTGATCCGGTCCCGAATCCGAGGGGCAGATGTGGCACAAGCAGGAGTCCTGACCTTCCTTGACAGTCACTGTGAGGTGAATAAAGACTGGCTGCTCCCTCTGCTGCAGAGGATCAAAGAGGTGAGTGCTGCCAAGAGACCAGGGCCACCCTTGGGGGGATGTGTCACTGATGTCCACCTCCTCTTCCCTCTCAATGGCCATGACCAGCCAACCATAACTGTCTGCACACAGGCATAAGAATAAGAAAGCGATGAGCTTTTGGGGTGCAAAGTGGCCTTTTCTGGTCTTCCTCCACCCAGCAGGCAGGCGGGGTTATCTCTGTGCCTGGGAGAGCGTGTGGGTGGGTGGGACGAGGTGCCTCCTGGGGCAGTGGGGCTCTAACCAGCAAGCACAGTTGAGTGGTGAAAGGGGAATAGGTGGGCAGTGCTCCAGCGGAGTTTTTAATTAGGCTCATGTAAAATGCTCAGTGCTGATGATTTAAGGGAGTGACGGCTCCTTGAATAGGGGCCGAATTTAATTTCATGCCAATTAAGTGCTAATAAATTGATTTAATAGGATTTAAATTCTGCTGATTTCAGAGCAGACAATGACATTCACCTTTTGCTGCCGGCAACTCTCTCGCCAGACGTGGGCACGGAGGCTCCTGGCACCTTGTCACTCGAGTCAGAGGGAGCTCTGTGCTGGCCACCCGCTGGCATGGTGCAGGGGATGAAGCCTTCAGCTCCATCACGGACACATGGTCCTTTCCCTTCACTGTGCCTCATTCCCCTACCCCTTGCTACACCCCTGATTGCTAGTATTTATTACTCAGTCACTTTAAAGCTACTGAATTGTGTTGAAATAGGGGCAGCTGAGGAGCAAGAGGAAGCCAAGGCGGTGGGTTATGGAGAAACCTGCTTGGCTGGTGTTCATGGTGCCCCTCACCAAGGCGTCCTGCTTTTCGCACCTCCACACGCCATAGCTGTGCTCTGTGTCCCTGGTGCACAGCAGCAGCCATGGGACAGGGGGAAGGGAGCCACAGCACCGGGTCAGGTCCCTCCACAGTGGGTGAGGGTGCTGCTGTCACTCATAGTGCTGCCAGCGCTGGAGGGGTCCCAGCTTCGGTTTGAAGGCTGGGCCACAGTGCTGCTGATAAATGGCAATATAATGGACATGGCTATTTCATATTATTGATCACAGCTCTGGTAGAATAATGAGAACACGTTGCTGTGATACCCCACTCAAGCCTCATAGCTGGCCTGCTCCAGGGTGGGATTCACCACTAAACTTGACTGCGTCGGTTGTTCCCCTGAGCTTTTTTAAGGCAGGCGTTCCTCATTCTCTGCCAAAGCCCTGCTGTATGTCAGTGAGGAATGTCCAGAGCAGTTACCCGTTTCCCAGGCAGAGCTTTTGATGTATTTTGGCAGGAGAAAGGCAGCAGTGGCAGCAGGAAGTAGGCAGACAGAGCTGCTTTCCTGCACAGCTCCAGGTCTGTGCCCCACGTTTGGTGCCCATGGGGTGGGTGACTGTGGGTGTCATGCGTGGCATTAGGGTCACCATAGGAGTTTCACTTCACCATGGTCTGAATATAGCATCAAATGCCACGTCCCCTTTGTGAACTTTTTATTTGCTCTTCTGGGTTAAATCTTTCTCTGGCTGGAAGTAAGGCACTCTGTGAGCTTGCATTGCTGCTCATGCTGCTCTTACCCTGCCCAGTGTCTTGCAGCCCAGCAGAAAGGCAGCAAAGGAGACTCACTATGGAGAGTGTTGAGGGACTTGCAAACCAAATGGAGTCCTGCTTGCTTGCTTTTTAACTGCTTGCAAAAGCTGCAGGGTGTCCTGTTTTTTAGCTGGGACATAACCAGGTTTCTTTTTAGTAGCTAGAATAGCGCTGTGTTTTGGTTTCAGCCTGGGATTTTGTTATGAGAGAAATGTTCATAATGTACCAATGTTTTCATTTTTGTCACTGGAAGTGAAGGACTTTGTCTTTTGTTAGTCTACAAGCACAAGATCATATAATCACAGAATGGTAGGGGTTGGTAGGGACCTCTGGAGATCATCTAGTCCAACCCCCCTGCCAGAGCAGGTTAACCTAGAGCATGTTGCACAGGACTACGTCCAGTTGGGTTTTGAACATCTCCAGAGATGGAGGCTCCACAACCTCTCTGGGCAGCCTATTCCAGTGCTCCAGCACCCTCACAGTAAAGAAGTTTTTCCAAGTTTGTGTGGAACTTCTGATGTTCCAGCTTTTGTCCATTGCTCCTTGTCCTATCACTGGGCACCACTAAAAACAGCCCGGCCCCATCCATTTGGCCCCCGCACTTCAAGTATTTATAGACATTGATAAAATCCCCTCAGTCTTCTCTTCTCCAGGCTGAAGAGTCCCAGCTCTCTCAACCTCTCCTCGTAAGGCAGATGCTCCAGGCCCCTCATCATCTTTGTGGCTCTGCACTGGACTCTCTCCAGAAGATCCCTGTCCCTCTTGAACTGAGGGGCCCAGAACTGGACACAGCATTCCAGATGTGGCCTCACCAGGGCAGAGTAGAGGGGAAGGAGAACCTCCCTCAACCTGCTGGCCATGCTAAGATCTAGGGTGGGGGTGAGGAGTATTTAAATTAATAAGCTAAATTGGCATTTGGATATGCCAACAGGATATTCCATATCATATAACATCACATTCAGTATATTAATGAGGGTCTTTTCCTCTCTTGCTCTCTTTGACTTTCTCTTGGGCTCTCAGTCTTCCGGGATTGCGGTTTCGGTTCGGGATTGTGACTTCTCTGGGATCGTTACCTGGGAACAGGCCAGGCTTAGTCAGTGGGTGGTGAGGAATTGCACTCTGCATCACTCATTTGCATATTTTATTACTATTATTAACATTACTATTTTAATATCATTATTATTTTATTTTATTTCAATTATTAAATTGTTCTTATCTCAATTCATGAGTCTCCTTGTCTTTACCCTTCCAATTCTCTTCCCCATCCCCTGGGGGTGGGAGCAGATGAGTGAGCAGCTCTGTGGTGTTTGGCTGCTGGCTGGGTTAACCATCCAAGGTGGCACCGGCTAGCCAAGTGAAACCGCCACACAGGGTAAGGGCAGGGGGTCCTCAGTTTCCTTCTTCCCAGGCCCACCGTACCCATCCTTTCCATCAGGGTTAAAATATTGCTCAGTGAAGTGTATGGAATGTTACTGCTGCCACCTTCAGGCTATGCTAAAGAGATGGCTTCCCTGTCCAGCTGCTGCGGTGAGGATTAGCCCCCTAGAAAGAACATTTTCTTACCATGTTGGTCCTAGGAACAGTTTGCTTTGAGCTAATGTGATTTAAGTTTCAAGCATAGGAGTGGTGAGTGGCTCTCACCACCGCCAGCCATCCCATGCATTGCTTCTCTTCTGTTTTCTCAGGAAGAGCAGCTTTTCCTGCAGCTTTCCTTGGTGGGAAAAGCTGAAGCCTGTGTGTGCCACCACTCACCTGCATGGACAGATGTGAAGGTGCCCCTTGAGCGCCCATTGAGCTTTCTAGGCAGCTGATGGCACCCCTCCCCAGGCCCACACTTGCTTTCAGGTGTGGGCAGTGTGTGCCCAGCATGTGGATTTGGAAACAAGCAGGACTAGAAAGTCTAAGAGCAAGTGAAGGGGTGTGGGGCAAAAAGAGGGGTCCAGGGGGGTCTCAGACCTGTACCCATGAGGGTGCGTGTCCAAGGGAGTGAGTGGCAGTGACAGTGGGTGTTTTGCAGCAGCACGTTTACAGGCATATGACTGTGAGCGTGTGGGCACGGGCTCTTGTTTTTACTTATGGAACAAATATCTCTAAAGCTATTAACAGTGCATTTTGACTGAATAACTTTTCTAAAAATCTAATTATCCAGCCCAAGGCATTTTTACAGTATGACTCAATGAGCTCACCCCAAAACTGCATTTGCAAATAGCACTGGGATGAACCTGTGTATGGTGACTCGCCCACTTGTAGCTCAAGCCCTCCTGCCCAGTTTGGTGCTCTCCTGGGGCGGGGGGAGGCAGGTGAGGGGCAGCCTGGCCCTCTCGCCTTGTCTCATGCTGCTGTGGGGCCAGAGGAGCAACCGCAGCCCTTTTGGTTTACTGTTAGATGATGATGATCTAGAAGCTAGGAGACAAGCTGGAGTCAAGGTCCTTTTCCAAGGTTGAGATGTATCAGTTGTCTTCAGGATAATTTTCAGCATTTTTTTCCCTGTTGATTTGGTTTGAGAAGTGTATTGGAAAAATGCATTCTCAGGTTTTTGAGCATTTCATGTGAAAGAGGACTGAAGTTTTGGCTGTTGTTAATATTGACGTGCCCTGGCATGGGAGGGTATCAAAAAACCAGAAAGATGAAGCTGCATATAACAAAAGCTGGTGCTCAACCCAAAATAAATCATAGCAACAGCGCTGTGCTCTTGAGCACACTGTGCTTTTCTTTCAAGGGTCAGAGAGACCTTCGTGAAAACTGAGTAAATATAAATGTCACCATGACATGGCAGGGAAAGTGAGGCAGGGCGAAGGTTGCACTGCTGAAAGCTGCCAGCGCTCTGCAGTAATGCACTCAGCCAAGGGGTAAAGGGGATTTTTTTGCACGAAGTTGTGCTGTGCAGTGAGTGCAGGTGTGGAACTGAAACTGGGGATGAGTGTGGGCTAGCTGAAGTGCTTCAGCTTGAGGGGCAAGTTTTAAATGCCTAGGTATAGTCCTTTCCCCACAGTGTTCTGCGTGCAAAGCAGAAGCTTTGCTGAAAACCTTTCCCCTACCCTCGGGCAACGAAAGGCTGCTGGGGTATAGTGAGCTGCGGCAGTGTGAGGGGCTCTGTGCAGCAGCTACGACGGGTTTGAAAGGCTCATTACTCATGGATGTGACATGAGTTTCTCCATGTGGTACGTAGGTACGGCAGACCTTGCCCTTTCAGTGGGATGTTTGACTCACAGAAAGTTAAGAGTCCGGACTTGACGTTGTTATGGAAATACCAAATATTCGTCGTGCTCATTTGGAAAACCTGAGCTCTAGTGCAACTCCCAGCTCGTGGCCTTTGGTTGCTTCTTCCCACAGCTGCATTTGAATACTTGTTTATTAGGACTAATTTCTAAAACAAAGTCCTTTTCAAGCGACAGAGCAAGCCTGTGCGTGCTCAGATGCTTTCCTTTGCATGGTTGTGCAAAACGATTTCATCTGGCGAGGGTGAAAGCTTGAAGTTTGAGCTATAATTGGAGTTTGGGATTTTTGAAAAGAAAAAGGAAGATAAGAGACCAGTCAAAGCTGCCAGAGTCTCTTCCTCCTGTAGATATTTTTGTTTATAACTGTTTGTATAATCTCTTTGCCTGTAACAAGATGTTAATTAAATCACCGTCAACTATTTAAAATAATTCAGGTCTCTTCTTTTAACCCTTTCACACCCTTGGCAAAACTCAAACTGTGTACCCATAGTCTGTACATTTTAAAAATGCCTGTATTTAAGCTGCTTGACTGTCTGTTTTTTTCCTCTGTCATTTCATCTGCCTGCTTGTCACCTGACTTCTGAAATCCAGTAAAAAGTATTTCAGGGGGCTGAAAGGGGAATATATTGGTGAATTTGCAAAAGGCAGACGGAGCTTTGCATCTAGGCAAGTTCAGCGCTGAGTATGTGGGAGAGGGAGAGACTGCGGGTGAAGCCAAAGCTGGTGAGAGATGCTGGCTCAGTGGCTGGCAACACGCAGTTCTCTTTCCTCGGAGAAATGGTGCTGGCCTTCCCAGGCTCCCAGCAATACCTCTGCCACTTGGTGCTGCTGCCATTGATTCCTTGGTTGAACTGATGTGATGGCTGAGGAGGAGGAGGCGGTGATGGGCTTTTGTCCCTGACAAACCTGAAGGACACCAAGATTGCCAGCCACCTGGTGCCTGCAGGAGTTTAGAGTATCCCTTGACCAATTTGAGCAGTGTGATCTGAAGTCACGGGTCATTTTGCTTCTGCTTTCCAGGATCCCACCCGAGTGGTCAGCCCCGTTATTGACATCATCAACTTGGATACTTTTGCCTATGTGGCGGCTTCCTCTGACCTCAGAGGAGGTAAGTCCAAGCTGCTTGCATGCCCTGTGGGCGTCTGTCCCTGGTGTGAAGATGCCCAAGGAGCTGGTGGCTCTGCACCACAGCGTTGGTTCTTGCTATCTTGTAAAAAGTGCATTAGCACTGTTCAGTGCTCCCCACTGGCTGTTTTCAGGCTATTTTAGAGACAGGTAAGCCTGGCGTGAGGAATGATGTTTGCTACAGTGGATAAGGCAGTCAAGCAGGAAAGAAGGGTCATGTCAAAGCCAGCCTCGGCACCACTGAAAGCCAGGCTGCTGACAACAGGAGATGGAGGATGTCTCGGCAACAAATGGACGATGCAACTGTAGTGCTATTATTTGTAGCACGCAATATCCATCAGAGCGTGTATCTGTGTGCACAAGGGCACAAAGCAAGGTTTCAGCAGCAGCTTTAATTCTGATTTTTCCTAACTTTGTTGTACTTGACTTTGCAATTGTAATGCAAGATGTTGTTTCTTGTTCATATGCAGTAGTAAAATATTTTAGTCATTGGACTCTTCTCCCAAGAGGTGCATCTCCGTGGCTTAAGTTATTTGAAAGTGAGGGAAAATACTCCATCAAACACAGCTTCCGCAGCCTGCATTCATTGCCTCTTAATCCATACCTATTTCTAATTTCCCCATGGTACTTCTCTACTTTGGTTTTAGGTTTTGACTGGAGTCTGCATTTCAAATGGGAGCAGCTTTCCCCAGAGCAGAAAGCCAAACGACTTGATCCCACTGAACCCATTAAGTAAGTCAAGAGGGGGTAGGAGGCCCCTGAGGAACATGGGGCAGGACAGGCATTTCATCTAACCTCACTTGTGTCACCACACACCATAGTAGTGTGATACTCCTTCCAGCACAGCTCTGAACTTCTAACAACTATAGCAAGCTCCTGGCTAGCTTGGGTTTTGCAGTTCAGCTTCACCTCCCAACATTGAAGCCTGAAGGTGCTACAAAGGTAGAGGGGGTATATTTATGGGGTTTTGTGTTTTGGTAGTGCTAAGGAGTCTGAACATGGTTAGGAGAAAAACACAGTGCTCTAGACATCTGCTTCTCTCAGCTCAGCCATCACTTAAAAATAAGGCAGTGTCCTCAGCCAATTTGATGAAATGTGGTGTCTAGTCCAGCCTTTCTAAATCAGTACTGCTCCTCCAGCCCTCACTGAGGGCTCCTCAGAAATTCAGGATGTGCAGGAGAGATAGCAAAGCTGAATGGGAGGGATGCCATCTGTCCTCATGCTGTGGGATGAAGGGAGTCCCTTATTCTGCTGAAAATCTCCCCTGGCAGCAAGCCGAGTGCTGGTGTCTGCATCTCCAGCCGTGAAACGCTGGGGTGTGTGGCATGGAGGAGACCAAGTGTTAGGGGAAGCTTGGGGCCTCAGAAAGCTTGCGGGGAAGCAAAGTACTGCTTCTTCTTAGGATGCTGTTGTTAACAGGAGCTCTCGCTGGCTTCCTGAAGGCTCACGTTCCTGGTCATCCTGCCGTGTAGGGCACTGAGGAGGTTTGCCCAGCCGCAGCAGTCACCCCAGCTCCTCCCGAGCCCACGCTAAGGCATCCACACTGTCTGCAATTGAATGGAGCCAGGACTTGTGCCAGTAAATGGCGAGTCTCCTCAAGCTGTCTTCTGGGTCTGCCCTCCCCTCCTCCACAGGCCTTCTCTGTGCAGTTTTCTTAGCTAATCCAAAGAATGAAAAATAACCCTGTTTTGAAATAAAGATCACACAGCTAGTGATGGCTTTTAAAAAGCCCTTCTGAATTGGCTCTGCCTTCCCCTCCCCAGTGGAATGGTGCTCTTAATAGGCTGGCTCCAGGCAAAAAGCCCGTCTGAGTGAATAACCCCCCGAGCGCTAAGTGCATTTTTGATGCTGAAGCCTACAATCAGGGCTGTGAACTTTGGGCTTGTAGGAGTTGTGCTGACGGGTGCATTAGCCAGTCATTAAGTGCCAGGCACTTTATGATTGACAGCAAAATACCAAGGCAGCTGAAAGAAAGGCTCAGATGCTTTTTGAGGTGTGTTGTCCTTGTTTGGTGAGAAGGAGATACATAGGTAATATCCTGACGATGGCAGAGGAAGCAAAAGGGAGGGCTGCTGCTATGTATCCAGGTGCTGCAGTAGCGTTTGAGAGTGTGTTCCCTCTTCCCTTACCCATTCTGCAGGACTCCTATCATTGCTGGGGGGCTGTTTGTGATCGATAAAGCCTGGTTCAACCACCTGGGGAAGTATGACAGCGCCATGGACATCTGGGGTGGGGAGAACTTTGGTGAGTCACTCTTCTTCCTCCTACGCTGCCTTGCTGTGTTGGCTTCTCTTCCTGAGTCATGCCAAATGGATCCAAAGTCATTTTGGACTTCTCTTTGAATATTCTGCATGGTTTCCCTTGCTTACATTCATAGGTTACAGTCTCAGGTGAGTAAGGGATCCAAAAACCATGAATGATAGGAGGTGAGCAATTATTGGTACTTGGGACTCCCTGCCTTCCATGCTGCTTTGTTTTTTCTATAGTTAAATACCCTAAACCACAGAGTTTTCAGCTTTGGTGTTACCAACAGATGAGAGAACACCCCATGCACCCTCCTATTCCTTCCTGATCTTATTTTCTCATTAACAAAGCAAAGTCGCGTCTCGTTCCGTTGTTTGATGACAGCATTTCAAAGTTGTGAACTGAGGCATCAGTGCCTCCCTGAATTTGCAGAGTGCCTGAAACAGTAGCTCCGTCAGCATGCAGCAAGCAGGCGGCAGAGTAACATGGCTGCTTCTCTGTTCCTGTATCACTAGATGGCTGAGCGCTGCCAGGCTCTCCTTAACACTGTCAGTTCAGAGCTGACCTAAATTCAATTGCCTCTGCCCATTAGCATGGACAAGATGGGTGTTAAGAAATCTCCTGCATGCAAACTTGAGAGGGCACATGAGAGAGGTAACAGCCTGTCCGTTGTCCCCCATGTCAAGCGGAGCTGGATCAGGCTAGGCTGTTCTGTCTTTGAAGCCGTAGCGATGCTGCAGATCAGGGCAATAGACTGTATCTGTGAAAGAAGGGGGAAGCACTTGGTGTCAGGGAGACAGATCAGAGCCTGGCTTTAATAGCTCACACCCCTGGGGAGTATGGCTAGCAAGGAAGGAACAATCTTGTGTCTTAACACATACAGTGATGCTGTCAGTCATCCAAGGGAACAGATGCTGCTGCCTTGCAGTAACCCATCCGCTGCCTGGCACTGTTGTTTCCTTCACATGCCTTTTTCCTCCAGCATGTTTTATTTATTTATATCTTGTTATGCAGTAGGATCTCTCACTCTTGTGTTTCTCTCTGTGGGTGGGTGTTTTGCCACCAGTCTGACCCAAAGCATCTGCTCCGCTGAGTGGGGTGGATCTGAGGAAACCTAGGAGGGAGCAGCAGCCCTCCCAGCTCCCCTGCTCAATCCATGGCCCAAACAAAGCATTCAGAAAGGGAACTGGACAGGAGGAGGAGGACTGCTGCCCTGTGCCTGGCCCGCTGTCCATCTCTGCTCATCACTCTTTGACAGCAGGCAGCATGAGCCGCTCCTGGGAGATGGACAGTGGTGGGGCAGCCTGCCCTCCGGGGAAGCTCAATCCAAGCAGCTTGTCCAATGCCCTGCAACGGCCAGCATTGTGCCAATTTAGCTTATTAATTTAAATATTCCTCACCCCTTTAGATCTTGTGCTTGTAGACTAACAAAACATAAAGTCCTTCACTTCCAGTGACAAAAATGAAAACACTGGGATGTTATCAGTGTTTCTCTCATAACAAGTCCCAGGCTGAAAGCAAAACGCAGCACAATTCTAGCTACTGAAAAGAAACCCAGCTCTGTTTCAGCTAAAAACCAGGACATCCTCACGGGCAGTTATGGCCCATCCTACCCAGTGCGATGTTTCCCTTACTGGTGCTATGCCCCAGGAGCCTGGTCCTGACTGAGCAGGCGCTGGCTGTGCTGTGGGGTGTAGCATTGGCTCGGGGCATTGGCACAACAAAGGGAAAAGGTGAGGAACAGGTTAACTAGTGAGGTTAACACTGCAACAGAAAAGTGCACGTCTGCTCATCAGCAGATCCTGTCTTGCCCATCACCTTGAGAGCAGAAGCATGCCCAGCTTGAAGCTGCATCTCTTGAACATGCAGCAGTCGAGGACAGCGTGTCCCACCTCTCCTTCACATACAGGCTAGGGCAGCTGTGACCCTGCTGGCCGTGGTCACTTCTGGACAGGTGGCAGAGGGCAGGAGCTGTCCAAGCAGCTGCTCATTTTGGGTATGCTTTTTCTGGTAGCTTAGAACTGAGGGGATGCAGGACTGTGGTCCTGGGGAGCATCGCTGCTGCCTTTAATGTTATTGACTGGGCAGCTATAGGAGGCTGGAGACTTCAGGCAAAACAAAAGCGAGTGTGTTTGGGTTAGGAGGAGGACACTGTAGGTGTTTTGCTTCTTAAATTAATCCCCTGTAGGTGAATTGATGAGTAATGGCAGAAGGACTTGCAGGCCAGTGAGAAGTGCTAAAGGTATTTTGCCAGACTAAGGCCAAGCCCAGTGCACTCCAATGCATATTGCTTGCATCTCTCCTAGGGATCACCTGGAGGGGCCACCCATGCTGGAGTCATCTCTTGAGGGTCAGGTGGAGCATGCTGCTGGTTCCTGCTCCCCTGGTTCCTCTGAAGTGGCCCCATACTGTGCCTTCTCCTGTCTGTCTGTAGACCTTGTTTGTTAGCTGCCACGGATGGCTCTGTGGGTTGTCCCCACCTGCCAAAACCTGCACTTTTATTGCTTCTGCTGGGACAGGAGCAGGGTCTGCAGTGTGCAACATGTCTGAAGCAGAGAGCTCAGACTCCTCACTGTCTCCTGCCTTTCCAGCACTGTGTTCTCGTTCCAGTTTGCAGTGCACGGAGATCACCTTAGCCCACCTCTTCAGTAGGCTTTAAATTAAGAGCAGGCGAGGACTGAATGGTGCAGGTCTTAGCATTTCAGAGAACTGCTCTTCTCCTGGGCTGAACAGAAGGAGCACAAGAGGGCAAGGCAGGACGCAGCAGCCACGCTGTGGTTCACAGCGTGGTTGGCAGATTGTCACCCTTTATCGGGCACCTTTCTGATTGACTCAGCAGTGCTGGCACTGTGGTCAGTGCTGTGACACTCAGGCAAATGAGAGCAACAGCCATGTGCAAGGAGAACCGAGCACAGCAGCTTAGAGTGGCCACATCCTGCCGTAATCTCATTTCCCTGCAGCTGTGATTAAGGTTGCTCCCAATATAGCACCAGGACATGGCACAAGGGCATGTTTTATGGGCCTGTTAATACCCAGCACTGGGGAAAATGGTGAGGCTGCAGCTGCTGTTGCAGCTCTTGCCTGTGAACTTGTCAATGAAGGGAAAGTGAGGGGATTTCTGTAAAAAAAAAAATGCTTCTCCTCCCTGCTGTGCTGTCCCACCCCTGCTGCCAGGGCCAGCTGTTGGGAATGGGTTTAAGTCTTGATTTTGGACCCAAGCATCAAGGCAAGAGGGCTTTGTGTCTATGCCAGCTTCCCATTTCCATCAGCTCAGGAGTGGGCTGGGAGCAGGGAGTCACAGTCCCAATAAGAGTCCCAGTACTGGGAGCCATGTGTGCTTGAGAGTAGGTGGCTTTAGAGGTCAGGGTTCCAATTCTCCTTTGCTTCCTGAAGCTGTGAGTTGTTTTTGGAGGGATGGAAGTTTTGTGGGCCAGCAGTGCCTGCAATTGGAGGAGAAAGAGTCCTGTCCGCACTGCCCAAATGGCCTTCCCACCACAGGTACTTGTCTGGCCAGCATCCAGCCTGGGGACAAGTCATCCTTGTGCTGGCGTGTGTGAGGGGACTGCCAGGAGCATGAGCTGGCAAAGACGATGGGTGGCCTCCTGTCTGACTTCTGCAGTTAAATTGGGGGGGAAGGGGGAAGTGAAAAAGAACTTGTCGTTTTGGAGTAGATCTGTTCTACATATAGCTCCAGACTGTCAACAGATGATAAAATAGGATGCAAAGAACTGCAGAAGCCTTTTCTTTTTAATTTCATTTATTTTCCATGCTGGTTCTGTCTAAGCATGACTGTCTGACAATATAGCTGCAGATTCATAGCTTCACAGGCGTTAGAACCAGATGGACCCATTAGATCAGCCATTCTGCTCACCCGTCCTACCTTGCCAGCTAGGATTTCATCCAGCTCCCTGCCAAGAGCCCTGTAACTTCTGGTGTCAATTGTGCCACAGGCTCATTTTCCTCCAGAAAGACTCAGTGGACCAGCCAGAGAGCAGCTTGGGGCAACCAGGAGACATTTGCTGTACTGATAGCTTATCTGGATTTTGGGGATAATCCCCCCCATCACTGACCTTTGCTTGTGTGAAGGTGAGTGCCTTGTTGGTCCACAACATTGCATTCACAGTCTGGCGTATGTGCTGGGCAGGGTAAGCTCCTGTCTATTTTGGGACAGGTGATGGATGCACAGCTCCCTGTTCACTTCACAGAATCAATGGTAGATTCATAAAGATAATGACCATTGTAGTCATTAATGAACAGAATTCATAGCCCCTCCTGGTGATCTTGACAGCCCTTTGTAGGGAGGCGACTCTGAAATAGGCAGTGCAGAAGTAATTACAGGAGCACAAAACCAGCGAGATGACTGCGGTGTAAGCGGGGCTGCATGAAAAGGGACCTCCTTACCATCTCGCTCTCGCCATTGTGATAGCACCTGCTGTGCTACAGGCAGGTTTCAAGTGCACTGACTTCAAATAGATTGCAAGAAGCTTTGAAATGCGCTTTTAAGGGAATTGTGCCTAGGAAAATCCCTCTGGTAATTGATTTACCCCACTTTAATGTGGCAGAGGATGAAGTGAGAGGTAACACCAGGATCCAGCGTGCTCTAGGACAGAAAGACAAAATGCTGAAGCTGCTTTTCTTGTAGAAATCTCTTTCCGTGTGTGGATGTGTGGAGGGAGCCTGGAAATCATCCCCTGCAGCCGTGTTGGACACGTCTTCCGGAAGAAACATCCATACGTCTTTCCAGAGGGAAATGCCAATACATACATTAAGTAGGTGTTTTGTACTTGCTTAGTTTTTGTGAGGTGGAATAAGGTGCTGCCTTGTTGGGAGGGACGAGGACAGAAGATGGGGAGGAAAGTTCATTTGGAAAATTTTGAAATATGCCTGGGCTGGAATCTCCTGAGCCAAAGAAAATCAAGCCAGTATGACTCTCCCTTAGGAATTCCCCAGTGTTGAGAATATGACAGAAATTGGACACTTATATTGTACCTTTCGCCAGCATGGAAGTGGAGGGACAGCCCCAGCAGCTCCCTGAGTACTAGCTACTGTAACAGCAAATGGTTTAGACCCTAAGTTCATCAGAACACATTTAAAATGACCTGAAATCAGGTTGCCAGCAATGTCTGTCAGTACCCAGTGACCTTAGCTAAGGGCTGAGCATGGCTCAGCTGAACCAGGAAATTTAGTTCCCAGTGCCTCTTGGAGAGGGGAGCTTCACTTCTGGGCTGCTGTTGCCTCTTGAGAAGGGGCAGCAATGGGCTGCATCTTGCTGGCAGGGACACTGCGGAGAAACTGCCCGGGTGTTCCAGCTGAAGGGGTCCTTTCCTCACACACAGGGATGTAGACTGAATTGGGTATTTAAATGGCCAGCTGAAATAGGCTCAGATCCTGGAAATGGCAGGCAAGGAATGAGGCAGTCCAGAAGCAGGAATCAGCATGGGAAAGATGATGGGAGCAGCTAGAGAAGTCAGGAATTATTTCCTCCTTTTTTGGAGCATGGGGCTGAAGGTTGTCTGTTAAGTAAAAGACAGAGAAAAACACCAAGGGGTGCTTACACTTAATGCAGGGTTGTTTCTCACCTAAACTGCATTTGTATGTGTTTACACACCAAGCATCCCTTTTAATGTGGCCTTCCCAGTGTTATAAAGAGCTGACAAGAGTGTTTGTGAAGACCCCGCCGGGGTGACCACTGACCTGGGCTCTCTGCAGCTTCCTCATGCTTTGCATGAGACAATGAACTGGGGGAGTGTAAATTACATCTCTTGGTTATATCTGATATGCAGTTTCCAGCCTCGCAGCATGAGAGCAGGAAGGGGACCTTGTCACCCTGCTTCAAAAAGACAAAAATGAGGGGCATGGGGTGTTGCTGGCATCAAGGAGGGAGCACAGATTTCAGAGTCACAAGGAGGACTCTTGCTCTTGTTAGTGAAATAAGACTCCTACAGAACAGGCTGGGATGTGGCAGAATCTCCAGTGTCGATAGCCGAGATGGAAAGGCAATGTCTGCATTGCATCACCTGCAGGAGGACCAAGGGGAACTGGAATGGCTACGTCCCTTCTGGCTGCGCCCCAGGCACATGTGCACAAGGACTTTGGGGAGGTCTGAATCAACATCCAGGTGTGAGTGAGCCTTAGCATTTATCCCCATGGTTCTTACAAACCCAAATGAGATCAGGAAGCTAGAGAAAAAAACTCTGCACGTTGGGGAAGATTAGATACAGATGTAGATGTAGACACTGTGACTTCGGCATCTCTTGAGCAAGAGCACTTAGACTATTTCAGTGGCCTTAGAGAAAGAGGAAGAAGTGCTATGAATCAGCAAGGGACTGGAAAGCATTCTGGAGAAACGTATCTGTAGGCATTCGGAGCTGAGATTTTATTAACCTTATGGTATCTATCAGCCTTAAACTTAATATAGTGGTATATAGATTTAGAGGAGAAGCAGCTTCTGGCAACCAGATGCTATGTGGTACCTCTGCCTAAACAGAGATGTTAACAAAAAATATCTCCACCTCTCTGCCAGATATTGATTCTTTTTCCACACAGCCTCTTCTTCAGTGCAAGAAATGGTTCAGGCTCCAGTGCTGTGCTAGCTTCATGTGAAGACTATCTCCTGTTCTGGCCATGTGGGACTTGACTGGATCAGAGCCTGCCCTACGGCACCCTGCAGCCCAGTGGCAGATAGGAATAGCTTGGAGGCACCGGCCTGCCTTGGAGCAGGAGCTTGGAGGGCTCCACTGAGCTGGGCAGTGATGGGCAGATAGGCATGGAGCAACAAAGCCATTTGCAAGGAAGGTTAGAGCCATCTGAAGTCAACAGAAGACTTCCTGAGGTTCATAAACCTTCTGCAGATGCCTGGCTGACATGGAAGACTGACATTTATGGTACAGCACTGTGGCCAGGAGGGTTTCTCTTAATATTTGAATGCTGAGATTTGCCTCGATGAAATCTAGGGGTGCAAAGCAGGAGAGCCCATACAGGGATTGATGCAAAGACAATATTTGCCTTCAATATTTGGCTAATTTTGCACCACTTCACAGAGCTCCGTATTTGCACTTTGCAGTGCTTTGTATTTGGGGAGTTTGCCATTCACTCTGTGAACTATCAGAAATACCTCCCTGTCAGGAGGACTGTATGTATTTGGTTTAATTTCTCGCTTTCATATGCTCTTCCTTTCCTTAGAAAGTTTCCTTTGGACCACAGCAGGTTCCAAATATAATTGGAAATTCCTTCTGGCTCCTCTTCAATTTCTAAGATAAATAAATTGAAATCCTGATATGATAATTCTAAGATAAATAAATTGAAATTCCACTGAATTCATACTAAATAAAACCCCAGGCACACCTGGCTAGGCGATGATGCTTAAGAGAAGCTTCAGTTCTGAGTCTGGTGTATCCAAAACAACCAGCTGAGTTTGAAAAGGTGAATTCTTCACCCAAGCTTTGGCCTGTTGTGTTTGGTCCCTGCAGTAATGGGGAGGAGGGGTACCTTCTCTAGTACTGAGGGGTGGGCTGGATCAAAGGAAGTTTGGGTGAAGCCAAAGACCAAGTTGAGGATGGGGGGACGGCAGAATGGATTAGTTGATGCACTTTAGAAAATGGCACCTTGGAGGCTTCCTTGGTTTTTACCTGCCTTTCGTTGCCTCTTTCAGAAACACCAAGCGCACAGCAGAAGTGTGGATGGATGAATTCAAGCAGTACTACTATGCGGCTCGTCCCGCAGCCCAGGGGAGGCCTTATGGAAAGTAAGTGTCTTTCTCTGGTGCCTGTGCCCTGCCTGCTGCAGTGGGTGTTCCCTGTGACGTCGCCCTGCTGCGGGAACCCGCCTGCGTTGTTTCTGTAGTAACGCTCAATTAAATGCTAGTGGTAGGCAGATGCTATGAGCACAGCAATGAAACATGTGAACAGCTAGTTTAGATGCTGTGCTAGTTTATCCCAGTGAGTGAACCGAATCGGGGTGGGGGAAAACCCCCTCTGCCTATATCCTGCCCTTGGCATTGAGTACAAGTACTTCTGGTCCCAGGGTGGAACTTGGAAGGGAGAGTCCAGAGGTCTTGCTGGCGGCTGAGGGACAGGAAAATCATCAAATTTTGGGCCCACTAAGGCTTTATTGGAAAGGAGCAAGTGCTGGGTGGAGCTAGACACTTCTCAGTGACAACCAATAGGACAAGGGGCAGTGGGTGCAAGCTGGAACACAGGAGGTTCCACTTAAACTTGAGAAAAAACCTCTTTACTGTGAGGGTGACAGAGCACTGGGACAGGCTGCCCAGGGAAGTTGTGGAGTCTCCTCTGGAGACATTCAAAACCCGCCTGGACGCCTTCCTGTGTAATCTCATCTAGGTGTTCCTGCTCCAGCAGGGAGATTGAACTAGATGATCTTTCGAGGTCCCTTCCAATCCCTAACATCCTGTGATTCTGCGATTTGGGGATTTTGCCATTCATTCTGTGAACTATCAGAAATACCTCCCTGTCAGGAGGACTGTATGTATTTGGTTTAATTTCTCGCTTTCATATGCTCTTCCTTTCCTTAGAAAGTTTCCTTTGGACCACAGCAGGTTCCAAATATAATTGGAAATTCCTTCTGGCTCCTCTTCAATTTCTAAGATAAATAAATTGAAATCCTGATATGATAATTCTAAGATAAATAAATTGAAATTGCACTGAATTCATACTTCAGCAGGGACTGAAATAACAGCTCTGTACTGCTAAATATAGGAGGATGTAGAGAAGGTGGACTACGTGAAGGGGAGGTACTGGAGGCTTCATACTGCTCTGTAAATGCCAGCTCCTAACAGCTCCAGAGATAGAGGCTGGCCTAGAGGGGAGCTGGAGTTTGGAAAATGTCACTATACAGCATGATCCCTCAGCAGAAATTTGACCCTGGTTAATGAAAGAAAGCAGTATTTCACTGTGTGATTAACTTCTGCTGACTTAAAGGCATGTTTAGGTGCTCTTGTGAATGAAGGCCTCCTGTAGTCCTGCAAACTAAGAGTAACTTGTAATAGCTTGTGTTAATTTCCTAGTACGTTAAGATATTAATGCTTATGGCATATAGCAGATAGCATACATTTTTTTTACTAATAATTTTAAATGACTGTGCTTTTCCATGAACCTTTCATCCACTAAACTCCAGACTCCTTGTTAAAATGACAATATGTCATCCTGTCATCATGCTATTTTACCAAGTGAGACCTCCAAAGAGACAGAGATCACAATGACTGGCCATCTGCTATCATGCAGAAGATAGCAGAAAATAGAGCTGCTGATGCTCTTATTTTGCTGTCTGTGCATATCTGTTGGGTTTCTCCCAGCCTGCCTTTTTTGGTGCATTGGGTCTTGCCTTCATGATTCTCATTGTATGTCTATGACATTTTTTTCCCACAGTGTCCAGAGCAGAGTGGAGCTGCGGAAGAGGTTGAAATGCAACAGCTTCAAGTGGTACCTGGAAAACGTCTATCCTGAACTTCGGTATGGATGTGTGATCCCACACATCCCATGCTGCATCCCTTCTGCCTCACAGAGCTTTCCTCTGCTCTTCCAGTCGCCAGAGACACGGGAACCCGCTCCCTTGGGCTTCACAGAGGGACAGAGTGAATTTTGTGCTGGCTTTAAACACAGCTTACTTACAGTCTTACAGACTCTGTGGCTCTTTTGCTGCAAGGCTGGTGAGGAACAAAGCACCAGTTATTTCTCTTAGCTCCTAGGACTTCCTCAGGTATCCTCCTGCCTGTGCTGTAGGACAGGTGATACAGGCAAATAGCCAGTTTTCCTTAGGAAAGTATCCCAAGGTGGAAAATCCACTGTAGCCTCTGGCGGGCTGTTCCATACTCAGTGACTCTTGCTTACAAAAAAAGCATCTAGTTTCCAGTCCTTTCACACTGTTCTGTGATACTCAAGACTTCTCTGTTGTGAAACCATCCACTCTAGGAGTTTATGACCTGTATTCAGGTGTCTCTGCCTCACTCCTAGACTAATGTTTTCCTTAATATGCACTTCCACAGCTGCTTCTGAGCAGATCCCTTTTAGTCATCAAAAGTACTCCAGAAACCTTTGCATTCAGTCCCTCAGTCACTATTCAGGAGCCATGCTTAGACAGGGTGCAGAAATTTTGGAGATACCTCCGGGGATCTGCTGGTGTAAGGGCTGAGCGCATCAAAGCGTGAAAATGATTTATAGCTGTTTTCTTGCTTTTTTGCAGTGTGTGGCATTGCACAGCAGCACTCACAGGGAATGCCAGGGTTCTGCCGTGGTTTGTTATAAAGTTCCCCGCTTTTGTAAGCTGAAGGCTGACCTTCAGCCTATTCCTTGCTCCTCTGTTTGCCTTGTGCAGTGTTATTTTATTTTTTCCCCTTTTATAAAGGCAAGCCATCCATCTCTGAGTGCCGCTTTCGTGGTGTCCCTGACCATGTACTGCTCTCAGTGGTTCAGTATTGTAATAGATCTTGCCACTCTCATTTTCTGAAGGTGAAATGGTGTGTCTGCACCCTCCTTACCCTACTGAGCCTTCCTTTGAGTGCTTCGTGTGCCTGGGGCAGCAAGGATGTTATTTTCACACTATTCTCAACAGGATTCCCGAGGAATCGCTCTATCAGACTGGGATGATCAGGCAAAGGCAGAGCTGCTTGGAGTCACACAAATCTGAAACCCAAGAGCTTCCCATCCTGAGCTTAAATCCTTGCATCAGCAGCAAAGGCACAGCAGCAACGGCACAGGTAAGACATGCTGCCTATCCTAGTGATGCTGGCTGCAAAGAAGGCTCTGGGGCAGCTTCAAGGCGATTTCCTAAGTTTGTTAAAGCTCTGTTGGAGGATTACCTGTTCTGCAAACCCTTTTCCTAAGGTAGCATGTAGTTAAACCCTGGTAAGTCCTCCTTACTTCAGTGGAGGCCCTGGGCAGCAGCTGGGACTGGTGCAGAGATAAGGGTGAACTGCTTATCTCTGTGCTAGTCTGTGCTGAGCACTTACTGCTGCTCAGGAACTCCACACGCCATTCATCTGCAGAGATCAGAAAAAGACAGAGAGAACTATAATTTCTTCTCATCTTTCAGTCTTATTTCTTTTAAAATGCTCTGAATTGCAATGACATTTATAACTTCGTAGTCTGCATTCTCTCATATTAGATTGCCCATTAAACTAGTGAGAATTTAATGAGGATGATCTCGTGTTTTTGATCTTGGTTTTTTCAGTCTCACTGAGACAAGAAAAAGCTGTATGAATCAGTGTTCTCAAAAGCATAGTCTAGGAAATGTTAGAGCCAAGAGCAGGCACAAGTGGAGTTGCTGGAATAAGACCCTGAAGCCATGGCTTCAAAACCTGTCTTTGCTTCAGGCTCCCTTTGTGATTTTGGACATGTCAGTAAGTTCTCTCACTGTTACCATCTATAAAACAGGGAGGATAACAATTACTCGCTTCTTTGGGGTACTGTGAAATAATTTAATAGGCAATGGTGTGCTTGCTTCCACTTGACTGTACATCCTTAATCCTCGTGGTTACACATTCAAACCAGCTAGCTATGCATATAAAAGGCCCAGCCTGGAGATGCTGCTGAAAATGTCCCTAGTTTATATGTGCAAATGGAGCATGTCATGATGTGCATCTCTTTCACATGCAGTTGTGTGCCTGCCTTTAGTCAGGAAAATAACATCTGCTTCACAGTCTGGTAAAATCAACAATGACTAGTTGAATTTTAGACAGTTCAGAAAATATAGTGAATATAGCTGCAAGTACTACGTAGTTACACTTCTTATGGTTTAACTGGTTTCCAGGTTTTAGAATTATTTTTCTTTCTTCCACTGCTATATGGATGTTTTATACAAACAGCAAGAGAAGTGAGCTGATGAGAGCAGGTCATCATGTTTTGCAGGGTCAACTCTGCTGAAGTAAAAAACAAAGTTTTGGTGACAATTGGAACTTTCAGTGAATTGAATTTTTTGAAAAATATCTGGGAAAATCAGAATGGAAAGTGCTGCTGCAAGCTAGCGTTTCAGAATAAAATGGCATTGGTCTTTCTGAAATATCAATTGGATGTGATATTTTAAAATGAGGAATGTCATGCCAACAAGTTGGATTGTTTCACTTCCATCAAACACATTTTGGTTTGATGTTTCTGTGCAGTAAATTGTTGGAATTTTTCGTGCCACAAACTTTTCATCTTCCCATTTTGATTTTGCAGCAGTTTGCAATAGGTCAACCACTTCCTGCTGGATGGCAACTCTGTTTCTTGCGCACATGCAGGACCAACTCTCCAGGGGAACAGAAAAACTCACTACAAACAGATTGCTGAATAGCTACATTCAATACACGGTCAGGAATAGAGAAAAACCTTTTGCTTTTATCCTTCTCTGTCTTTCTAGGATAGTTCTGTCACTTGTACCCATGGTGAATATTTCAGATGAAAGCAGACTAGTTAAATTTTCATTGTGAATAGAAACTTTTATTTTAGTTACACAACTGTTACAAGACCATCTGAACTTGTGGATGACATAGGGGTTACAGTCACCAGGCTGTGTAGGATAGATTACACAGCAGTCCTGAATGCTATGTAGTTTTCTATTTAGTATGTCAGAACAGAGCAATAGTCTTCACTTTTAACATACTGAAGTCACATCTTGTTTACCCTGAGCTTCATTATTTGAAAAATAGGCTTAGCTAAATCAAAGCTGTGCTTTCCTGGCACTCAGTAAGTACTACAGAAATATCCTGGCCATCCAGATCCGTTTATTATCAGTGTTAGTTGCATTAATTGGGTTGTTTGATTGCCCTTCTGTAGGTGTCTCTCTGCTATGTTCCCCAAACCCTTTACCAAGATTACATACATGAAATCCTGGGACTGGGTGTGAGAAGATCTGAGCTTTCATATATCATGATGATTTGAGGAGAGAAACAGGAGCTGTCAGATGGCAATCAATTGCCCTTTATTTTAGTGTTTTCTATCTGTAGAACAGGGGAAGGGTGTTGTGAGCACTCTGGCCCCATCTATAGTTTGGATAGATTGAGAAGAGTACTCTGACTGCAGTGAAATCAGGTTTACAACTCTAGCAGATCTCACAAAACCTTCCCTGGTGGTGTCTGGTGTTAGTCTTGAATTACTAAAAGGGGCACTGAGGCACAAGAAGACCCCTCATCTTTGTGTAGGAGAGCTCTGTCTTCTCATCCCCGGGATACACTTGGCCCTTCCCTCTCCAAAAGTCTGGCAGCAGTCATGGGAGACTCTGTCCTCTGGGGTGGCTCTCAGAGGGACCTGCTCTTGAGTTAGTGACTGGCAGAAATCTTTGTGCAGTGCTGCCCATACCCAGGGCACAGTAGGCTCTGCCTACTCTTCTGCCCACCTGAGCCTTGGTAGTCTGTGTCTTCTTGTATTGCATTTACTAAATGAACTGATTGATTAATTTTTCACAAGATAAATGCATCTGAGGGAGAATAATTAATCATAATTTTGTCCTGGTTTTTCTGATGAAGATGTGAATAGTTGGGTTCTTTTTCAAACTGTCAGTTGATATTAGTCCATATGTCTTTGGAATAGACATTGGACTCTGGGATATATTTAAATCATTAGCAGTTCCAGGAAACCTGACATACTTCAGATAAAAAAGCAGAAGACACTTTGGCCTGGATACTCACATACATGTAAGGAGTAGCTGCAAGATTAATGTAAACTCAGTCATCTCCTAGACAAGTGAGGAAACAGTGGGAAGGTTGCAGCATGCATTTGCCAGGCCTGCACTCCAAAATACCTGGGCCTTGGAGCTGAGTGGCTGCCGTTGGGTTTGGGTGGCATGTCCCTAACTCTTATTGTGAAGGAAATTCAATGTGATAATCTGCCTGATGTGGCCCTGAAGCTTACCCCAGTTGGCTCAAGGATGTCTGTGGGCTGACTAGATCTGTGCTTTCTTTGGAGAAAATTTAGCATCTATCCAAACTAACCTGACAGTGTCCCTCCTGAGACATCTCAACTATAAAATTTATCTTCTGACCTTCCTCCCTTCAAAAGTCTTTGTTGTTCTCCTCCATGGGCATGTCCTGCCCCAGCTGTAGGCCAGCTGGAGCTGCAGGAGCTGGGCTGAGCTGGCGGAGTGGAGGTGCTGGCTGGCAGCAGTGTCACCTCCGCACCCAGGCTGCCGCAGACATCTTTTGTGTTTTGCTTTCCCTCTCCTGAGACGTGCATAAGAGCTAGTTGCATCCCAGGGCCTTTTGATGAGGGAAGCAGTTCGGTATCCTTAGGTGACCCATGCAGTTGCGTGCCTTGGGAAATCCTTCCCTGTGATTTTTAAAAAGATAATGATTGAGGGCTGAGGTTGTTCCCGGCTTCTTCAGAAATATTTCTCTCTAGCTGCTACCCCAGCTTTAGGGTATGGTTGACCTCTTCCTCAGCAGCAGAGCATGTACAGCTCTGTCATGTAACGCTGGGCTCCCATGGGGCTGCTCCTTGCTAGGCTGAGGGGCTCCTTTCTCCTTCTGCCAACCAGGCTACGCTAAGCCGAAGGTCACATTTTTAAAATAATTTCCTCAATTCACAATGATGCTGAGTAGCTGTGACAGGTGCCTGCTGAAATGATGCTAAAGCCTTGAAAACTACTCGCAACCCTCAGATGGGGGCTAGCGATATCCAAGGCTTTGGAGGAGGGGGATTGCTGGCTGTGTTGTGCAGCTGGTAGCTCTGCTCTCCCAGTCCACTCTCTTCCTCCTTGCTCTACCACTGCTTCATCAGGAGCTGCTTTGTCTTTGAAATGGCGGGACGTCTTGATCTCAGTTTCACCCCGTGTGTCTGATTTCCAGGGGTCAGCTCTCAACCCCGTTGGCATCTCTTCAGGCCAGTCAGTAGCCCTGAAGCCGTGTTAGCTCCTTGAAGGTCTCCATTCTTAGGAGTACTGTGGGCTGCCCCATTCACCACAACCCCCGGGGTGCAAAGCTCTGCTGTTGTTACTGCTCTGCCACCCACATGAGTGCTTGGTGTGCCAGGGTTTAGAAGTTAAAGTAGTTTCTCATGGGGAAGATAAGCAGGAATTTTCACCCTGACTGTTACAAACAAGGGAAGAGAATGGGCTAAGATAAAAATTTGCATGGCCATTTTCCTCTATTTTAACTCAAAGCTTTTTGTGGATTCTGTGCTGTTCAAGTAACTTTTATTTTTCCCCAGAATTTCTTCATTTTCTGCATCATTTTCTCTGGCTTTCATCTAGGGCTGAAAAAGAGACATGATTAGAACTGCATAAAACATTTTCAACAAAACTGGCTTCCATAAAAAGCCATTCTACTAAAATAGAAAAGCTGTGTGAAAATCTGTCAGTTTAGATAAAGACAGTAGCAGGACAGCCTGGGGGCAAGAGGGGAGGATCCAGTGTATCAGTCTACCAAACTGACACATATATCTAGCTCTATAGGCCTCACTTCTTATGATGAACAGCAGCTCAAGAGAGATGGTTACCACCACCCTCTCTACCCCATGGTGCTTTGCTTGAGAAGATGTGAATATCGGGAAGGCTTGAGCAGAGCCTGGCCTGGGAAAAAAGCATGGAGAACCTCTGGGTACAGCAGTCCTCCATGAAGTGCCTCAGTGAAGCAAGGAGGTTAAGAGATCCAGAAGTCTCACTCCCTGAGTTAGTTGGGGGATCTGACACATGTAAGAGTTACAGGATTAGCTTGCTGCTGCTGAGGCACCTTGTGCGTGTTGCTCAGGCCTTGTCCTGAGCTAAAATGACAACCAGTTGGTTAAAAATGTAAAGCAGGTTTCCAAAGCAGCTTGAAGCAGCGCTGGCACAGAGAACAGGTGTTGGAGCTTGCCCTGTCAGGCTTGGTTCTTCACAGATGCAGGACTAATTTGGCACCTGATTTCCCAGGCTGGTAGTTTACACAGCAGCTGACAGCATGCATGGTTGGGATGTCTGGAACGTAGGATCAGGTAAACTCTGCTCCATCTGACAAAGAAGAAGTAGTTGCCAGAAGGCCCTCTGAGCGCAGACTACAGCTTTGAAAATTAATGCTTGTTATATGCTGAAATACTGGGCAGCTCTTGCTGAGAAGCCTGTGGGCAGGCTGTTCAGAAAGCCAGGTTTGATTTCCATTAGCCGGTGGGGAGTAGTAGGCTAAGAAATGTGGGGTGTGAGGATCACAGTGTGAAGTCCTTGTGGATCTGGGTCTGCTGTGCAAAAGCGTGTTTTCCCTTCCAGGTGGCTAAGAACCTGAATGAAGTGGAATTTATACTCCCAGGAGTTAAATGCCTGTAGCTGTCTGTTTTGAAGTCGGGGAGAGGCGTAAAGCTGCTGACGGTGATAAATACCAAAGGGGTGGAAGTGTTTCCCTGCTCTAATAACTCATGCTAATGCAACCCAAAGCCTCCACCATTCAGAGTCGGGGGAGCTGCAGGTGTCCCAGCTCTGAGATCAGGACAGCCATTCTTCACTTTCCCCTCTGGCACTCAGGGTTGCAGTCTCCCAGGAGCACCTTCTGCCCTTCATTTTTCCAGATCCAGCCTAAACTGCCACGTGCTTGAGCGCTGCTTTCCCCTGCATTGCCAACATCCTTGCTCATTTCACTCCTCCCAGAGCTCTGACTCCTCCGTATCTGAGTTCTCAGCTGTTTTACTTTCTCTCTGCATCTTTTCTTTCACAGCAGCTTTTTCCTCATAGTCTGTACTCTGTGAAAGTATTTGCCTTGGCTCTTGAGACCAGTTGTGGAAACCCATTTGCTCAGTGGTGCGTTGACCCTGGCTGGACACCAGGTGCCCATCAAAGCCACTCTATCACTCCCCCTCCTCCGCTGGACAGAGGAGAGAAAATATAGCAAAAAGCTCATGGGTCAAGATAAGGACAGGGGAAATCATTCACCAATTACAGTCACGGGCAAAACAGACTCAACTCAGGGAAATTAGTTTATTATCCATCAAATCAGAATAGGATAGTGAGAAATAAAACCAAATCTCAAAACATCTTCCCCTCACTTCTCCCTTCTTTCTGAGCTTAACTTTACTCCCAAATTCTCTACCTCCTGCCCCACAGCGGCACAGTGGGACGGGGAATTGGGGTTGCGGTCAGTTCATCATGCATTGTCTCTGCTGCTCCTTCCTCCTCAGGGGAGGCCTCCTCACACTCTTCCCCTTCTTCAGCACGCAGTCCCTCTCATGGGAGACAGTCCTCCAGGAACTTCTCCAATGTGAGTCCTTTCCCACAGGCTACAGTTCTTCACAAACTGCTCCAGCATAGGTCCTTTCCATGGTGTGCTGGGCTCCTCCTTCCACAGGGCCACAGGTTCTACTAGGAGCCTTCTCCAGCACAGGCTTCCCATGGGACCATAATCTCCTTCAGGTATCCACCTACTCTGGCATGGGGTCCTCCACGGGCTACAGGTGGATATCTGCTCCACCATGGACTTCCATTGACTTCCATGGACTTCAGGGGGACAGCCTGCCTCACCATGGTCTTTACCACAAGTTGCAGGGGAATCCCTGCTCCATCACCTGGAGCACCTCCTCCACCCCCTTCACTGACCTTGGTGTCTGCAGTTATTTCTCTCACATGTTCTCACTCCTCTCTCTGGCTGCAATTACACAGTTTTTTCCTTCCCCTTCTTAAATGTGTTATGTAAATATGTTTAAATACCACAGAGGCACTACTACCATTGCTGATGGGCTCAGCCTTGGCCAGCACTGGGTCCGTCTTGGAGCTGGCTGGCAGTGGCTGTGTTGGATGTGGGGGAAGCTTCTGGCAGCTCTTCACAAAAGCCACCCCTGTAGCCCAAATACACCCTCCCTGGCCTTGCTCTCTGCAGCATGGTTATTGCCCTGCGCTAGTGAAGCCAGCCTGCTGTTGTCCCTCAGACCTGCTCACCTGCCCTGCCACTGCTCAGCAACCCACTTTCCATTTGCTCCCACTGCTGCTTGCCTGACTCCTGTCTCAGAGCTGTTTAGGCAGCAGGAGTTAATCCTGCTTTGCACCCTGGCTAGAGGCCCTCAGAAACCCCTTCAAGCCCTAATTTTAAAGTTAATACTCTCACAAAGTTATAAGCAAAAAGCTCGTTCCAGAAGTCACTCTCTGGGGTTACATTAAAGTGGGGTTTGTGGTTTCTGTTCAGCCAAAGCAGCTCTTGTTTGCTTGTGTCCACACAGAAATAGGAGGGAGATCTCCCTCCCTGGACAGCCTTAGATCCTCAGGAGGTGCTCTTGTGTAATAGAAACACAGATGACTAACAGAAAATGTTCAACTGGAATAAACAAACGTTGGAATAAACTTTTGTGAAATCCTGCTGGGCTAAGCAGTGTATCTGTACATACGTGATGTTTTGTCCAGTGCATTTGGAAATCCTGGTCAAACTATCAGCCTCTTCTCTTTTTCTCCTAAGAAAAACATCCATGGGTGGAAAAGGTTGTCAGCCCAGAGAGCTTTACACATGATGAAGAGTCTCTGCTCCCCCAGAGATTATTTCTTGGGATGAAGAGTTGATAAAGAGCAGGTGAACATGAAAAGCAGCATGAGGAAAAAAAACCTCCAGGACAGCCCAGGGGAGCAGGAGCAGCAGTGGTCATAGCAAACCAGTAAAGCAAACATTTGGAGTTTGGTCCAACTCCTTTGATATAAAGGGGAGGTTTACCCCTGTTTTTTGTGATATTTAGGAATTGAATCCTGGGAATTGCAAACATTTGCTGTATATCACCTCTTCTCTCCCCCTGCTAGCTGTAAATCATTTGCACTGCTCTTCCTTGGAAAAAAAGAGGATTGCACATTGTGTGGTTGCAAATTTTTCCCTCTTTTGCCATTTTTCCATTCCTCTGTTCCCCAACCACAGGCCAGTTCTGGCCATGAAATCTTTTGCCTCGTGAACCATTTTCTTACATTAGCTTTTGTAGGCATTTTCTTTGGTACATGCAGCCCCCCAGTGACAGCTGCAACTTTGAGGAGGCTTGAAACATCCTAGTGACCTGTCCTGGTGCCTCTTGAAGTCAATGGGGTTTGTGCTTGGTTTCCGAGAGGGCCAAAGTGTTTGTTTTCCAGATAAAAGAATACCAAGAATCAACCCTGATCTCTCACCTCCTTTCTTTTTCTTCCTTTTTGCAGGAATGGATGTATACATACAACCACCAAGTCCGCCAGCAGCAACTGTGCTTGTCCGTGTACACCCTCTTCCCAGGTTCCCAAGTGCTGCTATCACCTTGCAAAGAAGGTGACAACAAGCAGGTGAGCCCTTTAACTGATCCCTCATTTTCTTTGAAGTTCCCTTTTTTTTCAGCATAGTATTACTGCACATCAAATTGCCCGTGTGTTCTGACTTCCTCTGGGAAGCAGAGTCTATCTGGGAGTACAGACTCTGGCCTGTTTGGCCCTTTGCCTCTTAAATGAGTGTGTTGATAAGGATGTCTATTAGTGCGGGTGGTGATCTGGATACTTATCTGCAGAAGTCAAACCAAAACTGGCAATTTAGTTCACACAGGCTGCCAGTCAGCCAGCAGATGCGAGCATTTCTCCGCAGTTAATCATCGAGCTGGCATTTGAACCAGTGACCTGGGAAAAAGCTGTTAGTAATATATTATCTTCCTGAAGTCAGGCAGAGGCTGAGCTTAAATGAGTGTGCTTCTGATGGCAGAAATGCTCAATGTGTGCTCTGCTGGGTGTGGGCTGGGGGACCCTGTACTTCCCAGCATCAGGCCACAACGGCTTAGTGATGACTGTCCTCTTGGTGCTGGAACAGTACAGTAAAAACATAATGAGGAAGGAGCTTGTTCACCCCTGTTTCTTCTCTCCTCAGCGATGGGGTAAAGTTGGGTCACACATTGAACATATAGCTTCACGCTTCTGTTTGGATACTGAGACGATTGGGGACACAAATGAGAGCACCAAAGAGCTTGTCATCAACCCTTGTGAGAGCACAGCCATGAGTCAGCGCTGGGACATGGTGATGTCTTGACTTGCTTGAGGACTTACACGGTGGGGATGGGCACCGAGACGTTGCTACACGCAGCCAAGATGCACCAGAAGGAGCTCAAATGCAAAACCATTGGGGGTCTTTGTGTATTATGGGACAGGAGAAGAATCATTCTAATAAAGATAAGGACATGGCGCTCCAGGTTGAACAACGGATGTTGTCTGCAAGGCACGTAACCGTTATTGGCCTGTTGGCGGTCATACACTCAAAGAGATGGGATGGCAAAAATACAAACTTGAAATGTTTGAGAGCGATAGCAGGGGTCCTACGATGGGCCCTGCAGAAATTCGGTGTGTGCGGTATTTGTTAATCTCTCTGGAAACACAGGTAGAAGAGCCTTGGAGACCAAAAGGAGACTTGGACTCAGCAAAAAAAAAAAGCATCTCAGTAGCTTTTGGAGGGTGAGGCAGGTGTGCAAGGAGGGATGTGCCAAGGGATGCTAAGAAACATCACCTGGGATCGAGTGGAAGACACTGAATTATCTTTGCACTTTTAATTGCTGTGGATGCATTTGTCTTCTGCAGACAGCATGGGTGGAGCCATGTTGCACTTTTGAATTTGTATCTGGTCCATGTACATGTTGTGTATACAGAGGCAGGGCAGTCATTTATGGCTGTGGCCAGGGTCAAACCAGCAAGTAATGGGGGAGTCCTGCTCTGTGCTAACTTCACATGGGTTGTTGAATCTCTGAAGCCCAAGCAAACAAAGGATTCAGTGGGTGAGATTAAAGGATACAAACAGTTGTGAAGCTGGGAGGAAAGGCAGTAACATGATTATTTATCGTCTCTGGAGGCCATGAGTGAGCCTCGGTCAGAGCCTCAGTCACTGAAAACTCCCCTATAATCTCACTGTGTGTCTCTCACTGCTTCAGATCTGGAATAAGTAAAAATTTTCACGTTTCTTCTATAAAAGTAATATTTTTGGTAATTGAAGGTAATTGTGTCATATTTGTGTTTCCCCATTTCCTGGCTACAGAAGAGGAAACTCCCGTAAAGTGCTGCTACCGAAGGAATGGAGGATGTAATTAAAACTACAGACTGCTTTGAGAAAGAGAAAGGGACATTACCTGGTTTTGTTTCCCAGGTATCTTGTAGCCTAAGATGTGAAGTACTGAAAGTCTGGGATTCCCCCAGTTACACCTGTGAGGAGGGAACCCTGGGTCACAAAGTGCTTCTCTCCCAAAGTCATTTGGTGTAGGCAGACTTGGCAGGTTTTGGAGATAAGTCATTAACCAGAGGTCATGTCAGGTTCAATAGCTGTATGGGAGTGAGGTGACTGCCAAAGGAGAATAGGACAGAAGGCCTCAGAAGAGATCTTAGGAACAGGAGAGAACTGGAAAGTCCTTTTCTAGCTAGCCCTTTAGAGCAGCTCCCACTACAGCAACAGATAACAGGCAGTGAATCACCAAGAGCTATGCACACAGCTCTTATGCAGTAACAACTCTTGAAGAAAACTTTTGCAAGACCGTCAGTGTGACTGGAAAAAATAGAGTTTATATCTCTAAAAATGCTAGGGTTTAATGGAAAGCCTATCCTTTGTTCCCTATGCTGCAAACTATCGGTAAAATACCACAAGCTTTGAGCCTTCAGGTGCTCTCATCATCCCTTCTTGAATAAATTGCTGGCTTTCAGGATTTCTGCCTCGGTTTCTCCTCCCTCAGTGCTGGGAGAAAGCCGTATGTGTAAATTTCCCTGGCTTTAGAGGCAGAACCAGTATAACTTTATTTACAAAAGGTTGCAGGGTATAAATGCTTTCCAAGTGCTGCAGTGATTACTAACCTAATCAAGCTCCCTTGGTGCAAACCTCAAGGGCTTCTGTTATGAAAGAGCTGGAGCAAACTGTCATTTTGTGGTGGGAGATGGCATTGTTTCCATGTCACCACTTTGTGCAGGAAACAAAAGGAAGCACTTAAAATGGAATGGACCCACTTCACAAAGAAGGGTAGTGACTTTGAAATCCTTCTGTTTAATTAAACTGGGAAATATCATGCCTACTTTTCAAACTGGTGATGATAAGCAAATGGTAATAATTCCCTGTCTAGTGCTCACATGGGAAAGCAGCTCCAAGAGCTTGCAGCTTAACGTGTTCACACCTGTACTGTGCCTGCAGCCCAGGACTGCCCAGCTGCTGGAATTCAATCCTGAAAGTTCAAATAGCCAAAAAACTTGGCATCAGTTTTTAAATCCAGCACCCTGTGGGTAAGCTCTGACCAGGACCTCAGACCTATCTAGCTTTTTTATTTTCCACCTAAGCCAAAAATACCCATTCTGCTGACAGCCAAAGCTCTCTGAACAGGTAATGCTCTTCTTTGCCTTAGCAGAAACTGCTACCTCACTACACATGTGTGTGCTTGAGCATGGGACTTGCAGGGATGTATTCTTGGAAGTTGTTTGACCAACTTTTCAGCTCTCTTGCACTTTGTGAAACCCAAAAGCTATACTAAACCCCTCTTATTCCAAAACACATGCTAAGGTGATCACTGTGAACTTGTTTGCACGCACTGGAAGGCACTCAGCGGGGAAGGTGACATCAGGCAGGGTCTCCCCTACAAGCAAGTAGCGTCATTCAGCTAAGTCTCCTGCAGGCCCAGAAACTACCAAGTACCCAACAGACCTGGGGAGCAGCAGCCACTTGGCAAACTGGTGATTGTGTCTCACACATCCATCAGCTGTAACCCGTACACTGCAGCTTGTTTCATGGTCCAAGAAATGCTGATCCCTATGGATCAGCAGTGTTTTCAGAGAAGCCAGAGGGTATCAACCTGACTCTTGGGAAGCTTTATTTAAGCAGGCAACGGTCTGGCAGTCTCCAGATTTAGCCCTGATATGGCATTTAGCAAATCTTCTGCTTAGCATGCCTGCAAAGAGGCCTTGCATCGTGTCACGGGAAAGGTTAACTGCTGCTGAAATCAAACTTTTATTTCACTTATTAAAATACACTGGAGACAGATGAACCCTTTTTGCTTTGTATTTCTTGCTTGCCTAGACATTGCTTATCATGCTGTGAACAGATATATGTGTCATTGATAGGTGGATCTAGATGGGCTCCTATGCCTATACTTCTTAAGCCCTGATGTCATTTGGTATAATGCTTTCTGGTAACATTTTGCACTGACTTGAAAGAACAGAAGTAGGAAATGTGGTTCTAGTCCTGGCTGTTGAGCTTTGTGACAGCATTTATGATCTCCAGGTAAGTCACTTCTTGTGCCTTTGGAAAATTAGATTCAGAGCAGGAAACTCAGGGCTCTACTACTGCCTTTTAAAGATCCACCCAAGGCAATGCAAAAAACCCCCCAAAAAATAACCTTCCCCTTCCCCCTCAAAGGAGATCCATGTTCCAGTGAGAACAAATCTGTCTGGTTTTAGTTGAGCTGGGGAAGTCTTACAGTCCCTACCTTGCTGCTTATGGGATTTCCAGGTATTTTGTGCTCATCCTCTCTCTGTGCCAGTGCAGTGCCATGAGATAACAACACAAAGCACTAGTGCTTGGAACCTCAGCTTACAACATACTGATGTAGTAATTTAGTAGTAAAGAGATGGAAACTGAATTCAAAGATCTTTGATTGTCCAGTGAGGCAACAGGAAAATGGGGCTGGTGGATGAAGACTGGAGGACTGTGGTTCAAGACAAGCACCAGCCCTGAATGCTAATCTCTTCTACTGCTTCTAGGAGTAACTTGGGATAGCTTACTTCATTTCCCTGCCTCAGTTTCCCAAACTTTTAGTAAAGACTGAATGTTTTGAACAGAGAGAAAGCCAAGAAGTAGTTTTTGTTGCATGGAATACCAGCAGTACTGGTATTGGACTGGCAGTCTCTGGAGTTAGCCCTGTGGTCACTTATTACCTACCTGTACAGGGTCTTGTTTAGATGGAGTTAATTTTCCTCATAGCAGCCTGTATGGTGCTGTATTTTAGACTGGTGACCAAAACGGTGTTGATAACACTCAACAATGTTTTACTTATTGTGCTTGCACAGTGTCAAGGCCTTTTCCATCTCTCACTCTGCTGCCCCAGTGAGTAGGCTAGGGCTGGGCAAGAGGATGGGAGGGAGCATAGCCGGGACAGCTGACCCAAACCGACCAAAGAGATATCCAATACCATATCACATCACACTCAGTAATAAAACTGGGGGGAAGCTTTTCCACAGTACATATTTCTCAGAGAGTGGCTGGGCATCCGTCTGCAGGTGGTGAGTGACGCCCTTTGCATTACTTGATTGTGGTTTTTCTTTTTTAATTTCCTTTTCCTTCATGTAATAAACTTTATCTTGTCTTTATCTTGACCCACAAGTTTTTCTCACTTTTGCCCTTCTGATTCTTTCCACATTCTGTTTCAGGGGCAGTGAGTAAGTGAATGGGTAGGGGCTTAGCTGCCAGCCAACCCACCACACTACCCTAAGCAAACCAGGGTCTGCGGCATAGCTGGCTGGTATTCTTCATGGCTTGGACTCTGATCACAACTGTGCAATAGGATCTGCTCTGCTCAAATTTCAGATCTTAAAAGCTTTAGTGAAAAGCTATGGGCTTGAATTGTTTGTAGAAGCAAAATCAAACAGATTACAAACTGTTGATGATCAGCATACAAGCACCAGAAGAAACTGTGGCTTATTAGTGTTCTGGCTAAATTAATTTCAAATTATCAATCCAGCTCCAGTTTTAATATTATGGGGCTCCTTTTGGTAGCTGAAGTGATACCTGTACAGGTGTCTAGCTTACATTGAGACTTAAGGGCTGAAATCCAGTGGAATTATTCCAGGTGTGTGGATGTTTTCCATATGTCCACTGTTCTGTTACTCACTGGAAGTGCCTTCAGAACCCTGTAAGAATAAAAACCTGTTACAAGCTACTACCTCTCCAATTGAGTCTAATTAAGTTTCAAGTTGAGCTGCATTTTAGCTTACAGCTGATGAAAAGCAACATAAAAATTTGCAGGCAAGAATGCTGCTTTTGTGTTGTAGGGGGCTGTTTTGTTTTCTCTGGTATTG